GGGGGGGGGGGGGGGGGGGTGAGCGGGGTGTTGGGTTCGTCAACACTGTCGTTCGATGTGCGGAAGCCTAGGCTTGGACAGGTTGAACTCCAAGCCAGGCGCAGAACCTCGATGCGAACGTCCGTTTCCAACTCAGCCTCAGCCCTGAGCTGAGGCAGACGACCAAGCTGACTCGCGACAAGTTCCTTGGGGCATACGCGCAGCTGCTGATCGATCACAAGGCTATGCTGTTGGGCTTCAAGTTTCTGCGTCTTGGGAGGTGTGTGTGCGCTGGTGCTTTGTTTGTTCGCTTGTCTGCTTGATAGTTGTTCGAAAGTTGAAGCTTTCGGCTCGTTTCACTGTATTTTGTTTGTCTGTTTGTTTGTATGGTTCTCTTTCATGAAACCAAGGGAGCCACGCCCCAGCAGCTAAGGGTCTTTTCCTTTTCTTTTTCAGGGGGGTGACCACCGAGCCTTCTGGGGAGCGGTGGTCAACGCAAACCCGGGATCCTGCGAAAACGCACTTGCTCTTTCCGGGAGTGGAGATGACAACAAGGACGAGACGACGACCACAAAACGTAAAAGTGCACTAACAATTCCCAGCCAGAAGCATGCCCAACTTGTCGAGAGTGTGTCACGAGAGTCGGGTTGGTGTCCGAGACCGCTGATCGGCAATGATGCCAAGCTGATAAGATGGCCACGTCGTGTCAGGTGGACGTGCCCAAGGATGAGGTGAAGCACGCGGTTTTCGACCTGTTCGACCGCGACGACAACAATATTGTAGCTGCTGAGACTGACCGTTTATCCCGATTACCAAGCCCCGAAAAGCCGTGCTAGATGAGGCTACTTGTAGCAGATAGAAGCTGCTCATGACAGCTGCACAGCACTGAGCATAGAGGCATGCGCGTTCTGCACGAACATAGGCAAGCTGCATATGTATATTAAGTCGATAGCAGCGGGTACATGTTGCTCCATTGTTCGTGAAGTTTGTTTGTGCAACATGCCCGATGTTTTTGGCAGCCAGGTAATCTCAGGTAGAGGTAGAGAGTTGCAGATGGAAGTGCAACAGCGGCGGGAGGAGGGACAGGTGCCAGATCTTGGACAGGGAGTTGAGGAGGTCAATGACATAGGAGCCCTCCAAGGACTGCCACCCCTAGCAGCGCCCCTGGATGCCTTTGACCATTTTGACCCGGAGCAGCTGGACGTTCAAGCGATCGAGCCCGTCGATAGTCTCTATGGGTGCTTCGGGGGTCGCTGCTTGGTGTTGTACAATGTGCTCTCTGAGGAAGAATGCCAGGTCCTTATCAGCTCCATGGCCACGGATGACATGATGGAGGCTGTGGCCTACCAGCAGGACTATCGCAAGAATGACCGGCTCATCTTCGAATCCGAGGAACTTGCCCTCCTATTGTGGAAGCGTGTGCAAGCCACTGCAAGTCATCTGGCAATCCACATCGATGGAGATGGCCATGAATGCTCGCGACAGCGCCTTCTGTCTGACACAATTCAAGGTGGAGATGACGGAGATAGGCTCTGCCCCCGAGCATTGCAGGCCCCTGTCGGTTGCCATGGACTTTGGGAGCCCATTGGTTTGAATGAGCGTCTCAGGTTGTGCCGCTACAGGCCTGGTGGCTTCTTCCGACCGCATTGCGATGGGATGTACATGCGCAGCCAGGAGGAGATGTCACTTTTCACGTGCATGTTCTACCTGGATTCGAGTATGGAGGGTGGGGCCACAAAGTTCCTCAAGCACGATGCAGTGCTTGCTGGCAAGAGAAGTCAAGAAGGTGACATCTTAGCATCAGTGCAACCAAGAAGAGGCATGTGCCTGCTCTTTTTCCAGCCAGGTTTACTGCATGAAGGTGAGGACGTGCATGGCGGTGTCAAGCATATCCTCAGGACCGAGGTGATGTTCCGCCGGAAGCCTGGAACAGGTGCTCAACTCACTGAGAGGCAGGAGGAAGCTCTCCGGACTGTCCGGGAGGCTGAGGCTGCAGAACTAGCGGGATCTCTTACCTTGGCCTGCGACTTGTACAGACGAGCTTTCAAAATGGATCCGTCATTGGAGCGGCACTTCTGATCTAGACTTGCAGGCATGTGAAGTTGGCAAGTGCGTGTGGTAAATTCAGAAAGCTCTTGCTTGATATGAGTCAGAGTCATTGATAAAGCTGTTGAGCACAGCTGGCACAGCTTCCAAGACCATGCCAAGAAGTCTCTGGGAAGGGCATGTTCTCATGTTGCTGCCCAGCCTGCTGCGTGTACAGTTCCAACTGCGCTTTAGAGCAAAATTCTCTGGCACGAGCTCTTGGAAGGGGTCGGGGATCCTATGTCCTTTAACAGACGACGAAAATACGACTGGAATAACCAGAGAGTCCAGGCTCGCAAGGGGCTGGCGGAGGTGGAGCTGGGTGGGTGGGTGGGGCGGGGGGGTTAGGCATTGGACATGCATTAAGAGTCTTGTAAAAACCTTCTACCTATCAGCATGGTGGGGGCATGAGGGGGGGAGCGGGATTGGGGGGGCGGAGCGGGCGGGGTGGGGAGGGTGGTTGGGAGGGTGGGGGGGTGGCGGTCGCCAACCTGGCCCTCGCTGCCACAGAGAGTGTCCCGACTTCGGAGTGTAGGGTGAATTTTCAACACAGTTTATCATTGGTTCTGTGCAAAGACGAGCATCAGCACTACTTTGTCAAGCTTCTTGCCTATTTATGGTTCATCTTCTTGTGACAGCCAAGAAGCGGCCCCTTGAACCGCCCCAGGATATGATGGAGCTGGTCTGTGGGATCTCGCTGCTTTGCAAGGGCTCTGAGGAGCCCTCCGTGAGAGGTAGTTCGGAATAGAGATTCAGGTTGAATGGAAAGCGCTGCCCCGGCTAGTCCGCAAAGGGTTGGGCTCGCCAGCTGTACGACCATCGCCAGGAGGACAAGATCCAGGCGGTCTTCAAAGTTTTCGACGAGAATGACGACGGTTCCTGAGAAAGCAGTCAAAGGGAGTTCTAGCATGGGTTTGTCTGAGGTGGTGGGTTCGTCGTCGTGGTGGTCGTGGTGATGGCGGTGGTGGTCGTGGATGTTCGCCGTGATTCGTTCCTGGCTCGTGGTGGTGGTTCCCTCAAACCCCGAGCCATCACAAAACCACTGTGCCACCAAGCTGAAGTCCTTCAACACGCTCCGCCCCATGCAATCAGGTGAGTGATTGGTAGAAGAGCGGTCCAGTTGTTGACTTGACAGTGCAGGCTTCATCTCCATGGACGAAATGTACAAGTTCCTAACCTCGGTATTCAAAGTTGTCCTCACGCCTGCCGCTCGTCAATAATTCTGGCTGCAAGAAAGGGTCTGAAGTTTTCCGCGGTTGTTGTTGTTGTTGTTGTTGTTGTTGTTGTTGTTGTTGTTGTTGTTGTGCTGTCACGAGCAGAAGGGGCCCAAGACGGCATAGCCCTGAGGCTGTGATTGGCGCCATGAACAGCATGGGTGTGAGCGTGGAGTCGGCAGAGGCACCCTCCTGGCTGGGGCTAAGCCGGAAACGAAGCAAACCAAGCGATCGTAATCCCGTTCCAGCCCTGCTTCTTTCGATCTCACCGGAATTCGTAATCTGAGCTTAGCTGAGCCCTTTCGATCTTTGCCTGCGTTGATTGCAAGACGAAGGTCAACCAACCAGCAAAGCCCTCTTCCGTGATCCGTCCCCCTGCCTAGTGGCGGTTATGAGGCGAGAAGCTTGAACAGGATCACTGCAGGCCCTTCACGACAATGTACATGAGCTGTCCTATGCCGAGCCCCACTACAAAATTCGATGTTGTTGCTTTCAGCCCCCTGATAGAAATCAGGATGGTCGGATTCTCCTTCAAGACAAATGACGGCACATAATTTACACAAAGTCGTCCCTGTCCGCTGAAGGACTTGGCATCGGTGACGGCCTTGGAATGCTTCAAGTCAGCAGACTTGTCGCCTAGCTGCCCTGGAGCTAAGTTATAGCATAGTGATGTGGTATTCGCTTCGAGGGCTTCGGGTTAATGCTGAAACCCGTAGCACCTGGCTGTCTCCAGAGCTCATCGAGCATTCTCGTGTGTCTGGGCCTGGCAGTGCAGCGAGTGAAGGGCACCACGTTAACTTGGGGCCCTCAGTTGCGGAATGCCAGGAACCCAGGCCCCTTGCTAAATTATATCCTTAAATCGGCCCCGTTAAATTCCACAAAGCCAAGCCTAGACCGTCAATCCGACATCATGTGACCCAGATCCAAGCCCAAGGAATCACGATGGCCGCCTCTCTATAGATGAGCCATTGGGCAGCAATATGTGATTTTGGGGGAGCTTGCTGTTTCACAAAGGCCTGACGCAGGAGGGTTGCGAAGGTGAGGTTCAGGGGTGAGGTTCGGGATTGCTCGATGAAGTGAACAGGTTCGTGTATTGCCTGGCTTCGCTTAACGATCATGCCTAAGCACAAGGGAGCTATTTAACGCTCGGAGTGAGTGGGCCAGCTGAGCTTAATTAAGCTAGCCTGCGGCGTCGAAGTAGAGTGGCATGAGCCAGATCTTGCGTTTATGTTCAAAATATTGATGATGCACTGAGAGCCTGGCCTGTCCTTGGCGCACCTTTGATTGCGCACTTACACACTGTGTAGCTGGCGTCAACGTTCACCGATGTATGGCACATGGAACCCTTGCTTGAGTTGCAGAAGCCAGAAAAACCCACATGGACAACACATTGAACCCCGGCACCACCGCAGTATCGAGCACTTGGGCAGGTTCAAGACATGGTTCTACGGGCCACGGAATGACCCGGCATTTATGTTCTCACCCGTGCGGAAACTGCTCCAATGAGGACAGCAAGCCGCCTTCAGCTGCGCAGGGTTCGGTTGGAGCGGTGAATTCTTGATGGCAGTGTTTTGAGCAGGTCGGCACGAAAGGTCAACAGTAGCCGAAGCAAAGAGTCATGCCACTAAGTCAATGTGGGGGGAGGTCTCCTACCAAGGCACCTAGTCACTAAGCTTGTGTGGCGATGGAAACATGTCGTGCTGAGAGTCAATAAAGGCCGGAGTCCGTCTACTGGCGGAATCGGTCTTGAGGAAAAGCGATTGCTGGAGTTTTGAGCTGTCGAGCAGGCTGCACGGAAACACGTGCAGGACATTTTTCGAGACCACGCTGCTGAGACCGACCTTCCTCGTATTTCCCGCCAAACCGAAAGAGACCTCGAAGAGCATATGATTCTCCTGACCCTGGCAAGTTTGACTCTGCAGTGGTCACGTTACGTGAGCCGATTGTTCAGGCTCCGAACGCGTGCAGCATCCCCGCTCCCAGCTCTCACGAAACCCTTCGGATCCGGGTTGTTGGATTCAGCATTTGACTGCTAAGTCTTCAAGGTATTTGGGAAGATCGTTCTGGGATTTGGATTGGCCCGAGCCCCAAAGCCTGCTAAACCTGCCCCCAAGCCAAGACTCTGAACTCTGAGTTTCACTGCACGACTCGGAGATGAAATTTGCACAGGGCCACAAGGCAAGGATTTGCTGTCAGGGCATCTCCCATGGATGGTATGAGTGGATCTTGATGGCCTTTCTTTGCGTGGCGGCCACATTCCTCAATCTACGATCTGCCTTCGAAGAGTTGAATCCGAGTTGGAGCCAAAGAGGGTGGCAGTGCCTGGTATTGGGTTGACGGCTCCATACGGCTCCTAATTTCACGGTGCTTGTTAGGGGAGGGCAGAGTGTTTCTGAAAGTGCACCGATTCAGGAAAGCATCTAACAAATTCGGCAAACCGGGGCGGACCAGGAACACAACCGCCGATTCAGAAAGCCGAGTCGGAAAACGCTGTATTCAAAACAAAGCCGAATCGTGGTTCTACCTTTTCTGCTGGTGCAGCTGTTGCAAAAGCAGTCCATTTGCGTTTGGGGTTTGCCACCCACGATCTTCTGCCACGGGTTGGGGTTTGCTCCTTTTCAGGTTTTCGGATTTTGTGGTTGTGTGGGTTTGCCAACCATCTCCGGTAAGAGTTTGGGGCTGCAGTTTCGGGTTTGCCAACCAACACCCCTGTTGCTGGGGATGGAGTGCAGATGCACAAACAGCTTGAGAGATTGCCCCACAACATTCAGGGGTTGCCGTCCAACATAATAGCACAATTCAGTATGTAGGTTGACCTGGGGGCTGTGTCTTGGGGGCATAGGAAGCGGAAGGGCAACAGTGCGGAATATTGAGGCATTGCTGTATTCCGGATTCCATGCTGCTGCTTAGTAGACAGGCTGGACATGGAAGATGTTTGTTTTCCATGATTCTTCCATTCTTCAAGAGGAGGTTGTCTTGGTGCCCTTGTCTGATCCTGACATCGGCTCTGAGTCTTGTTGTGCTGCCGAAAACGCGAGAGACCCGCTCGCAGTGGTTTATGCCGTCGGTTTCCCTGAAAGGCTCCCGATGTTTTGCGAGTTTGTTTCCCAACGTCTTCCTGACATTCTTCAGTTTTTTCGATTTGGTCCTGCCTGCGTTCATACTTGTGTTCCGAACCTGTGCACATCCTGGAGTCAATGGAACGGTCGACCTCCGGCAGTGCCCCACAATGGAACCAATCTCGAACCAGAAGCTTCGTGGCCTGCGGGCTCGTCAGTGTGGTTCTTTTATAGCCTTGCCATGCTCGAAGTAGGCACCTGAGGACTCCCTGAAACAGTGAAGCCTGGTCCTTGCTGACCTCAGCCGGACGAGCTGTGGTAGCTTTCCAGCAGCGAAAGCTGCCGGTCCGGCCTGGCAGGGGCGGCCCCAGAAAAGAGCCCAGACGTGTTTGTTCTGCAAGTCCGCCGCCCCGGCTGCCAGAATCGCGGAATGCGTGGAGCTCCAGCCGACGTGAGGTTTCAGTCTTCGGGAAGCTGGTCAGGATGTTGGGCGCGGACAACAAGCGCGGTTGTTGCAATTGCAAGCAGCAGTACAGGAATGCACTGCAAATCTAATGCATTTTACATTTCCCAGTGGTCAGCAGCGGTGAGCTAGAGCGCCACGATCAAATTCGGACAAGAGAATCATGTGATCGGCCGCATCATCCGTCATAGAACAGCAACCACTGCTGTACATTTGCAAAACACTGCCATCTCACTCCCGATGCGGCCGAGTCTAGCACGCACTTTGTCTGCTCGCGAAAGACTCGGAAAATCCATAGTTACCCATCACTTTGCATCATGTTGAATATAGAAGCTTATCATCTTCAGCCTGGCTTGGCAACGAACGTCTCCGTAAGGTTTATCTGAGCTTTGAAGCAGGCCTTAGCCTAGCGACGTTTCAGTTGCAATTACAGTCCGGACCTAGTGGCCGAAGCCAAAGTGAGAAGCCCTGGAAAAAGTGAGAGGCGTCTGCTCCTTCAGTGCCTATGCAGCACGCTGTCTGCGAACCAGCGGATGTTTTTTGACATTCTCAGCCAAGGCTTCAGCGGCTCCAGCGGCTTCGAGGCCTCGAAGAGCTGAACTCTCGGAGGCTCCAGCGCCGGGGGCCCAGAAAGTGAAGAAGATCCGATGGGGGGCGATTCGGGGCGTCCAAAGCGAGTGCCTCGCCACCTTCCCGCAAGAATCAATCTGAAACGGAGAACCGGAAGCTTTCTTTCGACTGAACTGCCACGGACGTGTTGTAACTGGGTTGCCGGTAACTGACTCGAGTTTGAAAGCATTCGCTCATACGCAAGATAGTCCTTGTCCTCGTACTGCAAGGCTCCGGGAGGGCCGCCTCATAGGTCTGATGCCTTGGGAACCCTGCAGCCTGGACGAGGTGACGAGGCCATGTTGAATGGACGGCTTTGTGTCTGACGGAGGTTGCCGAGTCAAATCGAAGGATACAAGATTTTTCTGTAACCTTTAGCTTAACTGCAGCGTACTCGTCCTATGTGCCTTTGTAATGCTTACATGCCAGACCCTTTACAACAAGACCTTAACCTGAAGGCTTCCAGGCTTAAGTCCCTTAGCAGTTGACGTGCCAAGCTTGTGCCAAACTTCAGTTTGTCTACGATGCACGGCATGCCACCTGTCAAAGCGAGCAGCACGAAGAGTTTGTGCTGAACGGTTTACCGTTGTGCAAGTCGTACAGGCCGATCCGTACCAGAAGTGTCACAGCCACATCATCGCTTTTTCCAGCGCCTCAAAGATCTTAGCCTCTCAAGCCTGATGTTAATCTCAAAGCCTCATCCTTGAACAGAGTTCAGACAGAACCCTAAATGTCAAAATCCACGGCTTGATAGCGTGATAGCTCCATGGCCCTCATTCCGGCGGCCACGCCGCAAGGGCTTGGCCTTCGGGCGCCTGCACGGGATAATTGGAGGTTTCGGTTGCGAAAGGCTGTGGGAGATGCGGCGAGCCGGTTTGATGAAGGGAACAGAATGTGCGGTCCGACTGGCATGGGGCAAGATGGGGTGGCTGGGTGCGATGCGAGGTTCTCGTCTCTGGTTACCTTTAGAGAAGGAGAGAAGGAATTTGGGTTCTTCGTTGCTTCGAGACACCAATGGCTTCTGGACCCCATCGGTGATTTCTCGTGGTGTGCTTGTAGAGCGGCATATGCCAAAGAAAGGAGTGGAAGCCCAGTCTGACCTTAAGGATGGAGTTCTGCGGCCTGTGTGCGTGAGATCGGCGCTTCTTGGAAGACCCGCGGCCTCAAGGTTGGGAGTTGGGAGTATTCTTCGCCTTCGAGCACGAGGAGTTTGGCAAATTTACTTTGATTTTGATGACTTGCCCTTGCATTGCTCGTTCGACGTCTCCTGTTAAGGGATAAGCAGCACACTCTCAGCTCAGGTTGGGCTTGGTGTCTGTACTTGTGTGTAGTGTGTACCCGTGCACTAAGCCCCGAAGCTTCAAAGCCGAGGATGTGCAGCCGGACCAACACATCCTCCCCACATTGCAAGCAATTCGAAGCCCCAAGTCCGAAGAAGTCCTGCAACTTTTCTGCAAGGAAGCAAGGCGACCTTGTCGACCTTCCCAGAGGTCCTTCGAAGTGCCGTGCCACACGGCCAACTAGGGATTTTCGCATCAGCATGCCTTTACAGTTGTCGTGACGTGCGTCGCCATCAACCGTCGCCGTTGCCATCGCCATCGCGGCCTGGCGGCCGCCCTTGTCAAAATGTGGTCGTCGATTGCGTGGTCGGCATTAGCCGACTTGGCCGCCGTGAGGCCCTTCGTCTCGGCAGCCACGGCCTGGGCTGCACTGCGACTGCAGCGCCGGGGCGCCACCTCCCTGCGCGGCCTGGCTTGGGTGGGTTCTACATCGTCCGGAGCTAGCTAAGTCCCCTCCTACCAGTAGCAGCTTCTCTGCTTCTGGGCCTGCGCAGCTTCTTAACTTCGCTTTGGTGTTTAGTCGATTGACGGAATTTTTTGTACTGTTTTTTTGGTGCAGTTTCTGCTACATATGCCGTGCTTGCTTGCTGGAGATTCCTTCTGCTGCTCTGCTTTCTGCTGTCTGTTTGCCGCCGATTGGCTTACCCACTATTGACATAAATCGGGGGCGCTCTGCAGTGAAGGTGCCCCAACCGCAAATTTCGCACCAGGTGCGCGGAGTTTTCGCGTGGATGAAGTAAAGACGACAGAGCTCGAGGACTGTAAGCTGGATGTCTCAGGCATGTGACATTCTGCGGCCAGTTTGGGGCTTTCGGCTTTGATCTAGGCAGGGGTTGGCGGAGGTGATGCTGCACGACATTGCTTGGCCCACTTGGGGCTAGGACCTTGGCTGCTGGTAGCCAAAGGTTTTGGGCTTGGGAACTGTTTCAGTTTCTTCATATGGGCTTCGAGCAAGTGAGAGCATGTCTGTGGCGGTGCCTGCAGCAGCTGTTTGCCTCCGCGAGTTGGAGTTGCAGCTTCTGCTCGTCTGCTCGTCTTGATTCGGGCAAGATCTGCACGAGGAGGCACTGCGATTTCTCGGCTTCGACTCTTTCCCGAAGATGAAAAACCGGCAAAGTTTAGCTCCTCGGATTCCCAGGGTTCGGCTTGAAGCTGGACATCGCGACAAGGTCCTCGAGCCCTGGAACCTCGCAATGTTTTGCGTACGCTGACAGTTTCTCAAGTCCCCTGAGAATGCCCCACTGAATTTGGCACAATTTTCAGGTCAAGTGGATCCGGGAGTGGCGTATCCCACATCAGATGCTGGAGGGTGCCCTCTCGGAGGTCCGTAAACTTCGCAAGGTGGGCTTCAGTGTTTTGCTTGCTAGCCGGCCAGTCATATCATACGTTGTTGATGTAGGCGTCCGACTGCCAAAGCCACCCTGGCACGATGAAGATCAATGTGAGTGCAGCAGCAGCAGGAGCAGCAGTAATTGCAGCGGCGGCAGCAGGAGGAGCAGTAGTAGTAGGAGGAGGACTCGTAGTAGCAGCACCAGCAGCAGCGGCAGAAGCAGCAGCAGGAGTAGTAGTAGTAGTAGTAGTAGTAGTCGTCGTCGTAGTAGTAGTAGTAGTAGCAGCAGTAGTAGTAGTAGTAGTAGTGGTGACGTGGTATGTAGCTGTGGTGGTAGTCTTCGCAGCCAGGGTGGTGGTGGTGGCGGCGGTGCAGTGTTAGTTGCCTGGTAGTTGTAGTGCTCGTAGCAGTAGTAGTAGCAGTAGTCGTCGTCGTCGTCGTCGTCGTCGTGTCGTAGACGCTGTCGCAGCTGCAGTCGTGCGGTTGGTGGTGGCGGTCTCGCAGTGGCAGCGGTACTGGTAATGGTAGTGGTAGTGGTGGTGATAATGGTGGTAGTCGTAGTAGCAGCAGCAGTAGTATATATATATAGTCGTTGTCAGCATAGTCCTTGGTCGTGGTCACTGTGGTCGTGCGGATGGTCGTGGTCGTGGTCGTCGTCGCCATACTAGTAGTAGTCGTCGTGGTGGTGGTGGTGGTGGTGGTGGTTGTGGTGGTGGTGGTGGTAACGAGCAAAAGTAGAAGCATTCTTCTTCTTATTGCCTTTAATAGTGTTGGTATTATCATTGTTGCTCGTATTATTGTTAGTATTATAATGCGAACAGACTTCGATGCCT